ATATGCGATCCATAAAGTGTAAAGCATCCATTTTTAAGATGGATACAAGTAGCTGTTCCATTCTGAAAACAATGGAAACTAACAGTCCAAATGTTTTTTTACTAGAATTATTATTTCTATTTTTAAAAATTTATTTATTTTTTCATATTCATTATTTCCATATTAAAGATGACATGTCCTTAAAATCCATCTCAAAAAAAGATTTATTAAGAGGCCAACATTTTTGCATATGTGGGCTTAGCCTTGTAAAAACCGAGTCCATTACATAATAAATACTTCAATGACATAAATGTTGCTAATTACTACGTAGATCCTTTGTTTTCGATAGAGGTTATATATATCTTAAAATATTTCCAAATCTCCCTCTCTATCTCTCCTTGAAACTATCGACTTAGATATTTTTATTTGGAAAATCACCTATCCTACCTTCTCTCAAATAATAAGGCTCCTTATTATTATTAAGACATGTGTGCATCCCTTATCTTTGGCTTAATATTTATTCTCTCTTCTTCGATACATATTCAACTCTCCCTCTTTATCTCCCCATAAAAGATGGAATTTTAGGTGATCAGACATGTGTCAACCCTTTAACTATTTCTTAATATTTATCTATTTATTGTATATATTAAGCAAGAGCAACGCTTTTTTTATTATTGCAATCACGTGTCTTTTTTCATTCAATTTTGATTCTTTTCTCCCTCCTACATTTTAAGTCTATATCTTTTATTTCTCTTAATTTATTCTTATTTGCATCTCTCTAATGTTTCTTCATTATCTATCTCTGCATTCTACATGCATGCAAATACATACAAATAGATAACGGATACCTCATCTTCTCTCCATCTCTCTTATGTTTTTTTGTTAGCTCTCTATCCATTCTACTTGCATGCAAATACATACAAAATAGGTAACGGACAGCTCATATTCTCTCCATCTCTCTCATGTTTCTCCGTTATCTCTCTCCATCCTATATGCATGGAAATACATACAAATAGATAACTCCTCTTGTTTTGTGATGACATATTTTCTCTCCCCAATTAAAGTAAACTTAATTTGTTCATCTTTTCCTCTCTCCCATTTTTCTACAATCTCATTCTCCCTACATGCATGAAAAGATATAAAAATAGGTAACTCTTTTTTAATATGAAGACACTTCATCTTCTAGGAAACTCATTTTTTAGTGTGGTGACTCTTTATCTTCTCTCTCCCCCCATTTTAAGTAAATTCATCGCTCTTCTCTTCTCACATTTATCTATTCCATATTTCTTTTCCCGTCCCATATATCTCTCTCGCATGTTTCTCTTTCCTAGTTTTTTTTTCCCTGTCACAATTCTCTTACCCACATCACTCTCTCTCTATCACGTGCACGCCCCTCTCTCATCTCTCCCTTTCTCATGCACATCACAACTCTCTCTCTCCCCATCGATAATGCACTCATCTCTCTCTCTCTCACTGAATTTTTAACATGTGCTTCACACACTACAAATACGGCTAGCTAATTTTTTTGGTTTTTCTTTTTCAAAAACCTATAAATGAAGCCCAATTACGTGCCATAGAAGAAGCAAAAAAGGTGTATATAGCAGCATTGACTACTTTGAGAGAGAACTTAGATGAGTCTTCATTTGGCAACTCATTGGATATTAGAGTTGTTCGGCCTTATTTTTTTCTTAGAAGTTTGTGTAGTGTTTAATGTAAGAACTAAATAATTTCAAGTGTTTTTGTAGATCTTAGGTGTATGTAAATATCGATATAATTTGTATATAGGAGCGTTGGCTACTTTGAGAGACAACCTAGACGAGTTTTCATTTGGCAGCTCATTGAATATTAGAGTTGTTCGGTATTACTTTTTGCTTAGAACTAAATAATTTTAATTATTTAGAACTAAATAATTAATGTAAGAACTAAATAATTTTAATTATTTATGTGGATCTTAGGTGTAAGTAAATATTGATATAATTTTTTATTTTAATAATAGATTGTACTTCTATATGTCCAATGAAGTTAAGCGAGTTGCTTGTATAGATGATAGAATACACCCAAATAAAATGTATCAGTTACCATGCCCGGACCTATGCAAAATTTCATGAAGAAAAGTGAATGTTACATCTTTATCTTTGCATTAAGTGAATTTTCATTTTTTATGTGATACTCATTGTTTAATTGCAACAATTGATTTTTTTATATATAAATTATATATGTATAATGTACTTTTAAGAAAGTAATATTTTTCTGGTAATAAATATATTTAATACTGCAACAAAAACAACAGTTTTATTATAATTTTCACTAATGATTACTAACTTATTGTAAAATACATAATAATATAATTATTTCATAACCATCATTGTACAACAATGAAAATTTTGTATATGAGAACATTAATACTAATATACTAAAATTGTAACTATTTAGTTATAAATAGTAACAAAAACATTAATTTTATAATAATTACTAAATTATTATAAAATACAAAATAAGATAATTATTTCATAAGT